AAACCCCTCTTCAAAGAGCTCCGAAATCGCCCAAGAGATGAAATAAATGAGCCAAAATAGCCTAAGTCTCGACTTAAATGCATCAGAAGGAAACATATCGGAGAACTCCCGGACCACGGGCACTGAATCAATCGCCGGAGTCTCTGTAGTAGTGTGTCTTGAACATAAGCTAGATAAGCCAAACAACCCTTCTCGACCATGTTTCGAGCCTTCAGAAAAGAGATAACCCGACTAGATGCACTAACAGACGAACCCTTCCACTCCAATCTAGGCAACTGTGGCATCGCTAAGGTAACAGTCTTGCCATGGAAATTAAGGACGACATGATATGGAGACAACCAGTCCATGCCCAGGATGACCTCAAAGTCGGTCATATCAAGCAACAGAAGAATCGCTCTAGTCTCATAACCACAAAAAGTTACGATACAGGACCGATAGATCCGATCCACAACAACAGAATCGCTCACTGGCGTGGACACATATACGGGAGCACCCAAGGACTCGCGAGGAGCACCTAGAAAATGAGCAAACAGAGATGAAACATATGAATATGTAGGCCCTGGATCAAATAGTACCGAAGCATCCCTACCGCAGATAGAAAGAATACCCGTGATCACGGCATCTAAGGCTACTAAATCTGGTCTGGTTGGAAAGGCATAGAACCTAGCTGGAGCGCCACCTGACTGGCTTCCACCTCTAGGATGTCCCCTACCCACCTGCCCTCCGTCTCTGGGCGGCCGGACGGCTGGTGCGGCAGCTGGTGCTGTAATCATAGGCTGATGAGCCTGTTGTACTGCCTTGCCTCGAAGCCTATGGCAAAACCTCCTCACATGACCAAGATCCCCGCACTCGAAATAACCTCTCGGTACGGTTAACTGCTGACCTGAAGTCTGGCACTGATGGCCTGAAGGCCCACTGGAGGAACCCTAAATAACTGGTAGACGGTAGGAGCTCTCTGGACTAGTGCTGGCTCACACTAGAGCACCCCAAGAAGGCGGCGATGCTAGATATGTGGGCCTGCTATACTAAATTAACCTCTGCCCCCAGACGGAGCACCACTGAACCCTCCTGAATACCGAAACCGCTTGTCCCTCGTCGTCTGCTCTCGGCTCCGCTGACGAACACCCTTGATCCTCCGAGCTATCTCCACAACCAGCTCGTAAGAAGTCCCCATCTCAACCTCTCAGGGCCACAGTGTCCTGGATAGAGTGTAAACCCGCAACAAACCTTCGCACTCTCTCTGCATCGGTGGGAAGTATCATAAGTGCATGGCGAGACAACTCAGAGAACCTCGCCTCATAGTCGGTCACCGACATCTGACCCTGCTGAAGTTGCTCGAACTAAAATCGCAGCCCATCCCTCTGAGAGGGTGGAATATATCTATCCAGAAAAAGGCGTGTGAACTAGTCCAAAGTCAAGGGAGGAGAACCTGCTGGCCTGCCGAGAATATAGGACTGCCACCATCTACGGGCCTTGTGTTCCAGTCGAAATGTGGTAAAGTCCACCCCGTGGGACTCCAGAGTAAGTGAAATTCGGTATTTACGAATCCTTTATCAAGTTTTAATATAATTTAGGCACTTAAATTAACAAGTAGAGTGCAAACAATACAAGTATTTCATGATTTGGGTCCTAAAACTACCTGGACTTAAGCATGATTAGTAGCTACGCACGGACTCTCCTCACCTCGTGCGTGCGTAGCCCCCATAATTAGAAACAAATAGTAATTTAAACCACCAATGGGGTAAATTCCCTCTTACAAGGTTAGACAAGAGACTTACCTCGTCCCAAAGATCACTGTACGACCCACAAATTCACTCTAAGGCATCAACTTGGTGCTGAACAATCCGAAACTAGCCAAATATTATATAAATTAATCAATATACACTCAAAAGTTAATAATTTAGCTATTAGAGTAATTACCCAACCCAAATTGAAAGATTCTTAAAATTCTCCCCCAGGCCCACGTGTCTGGATTCCAGAAATTTTTGAAGATAAATGTTACCCATAACCTCAGGAACTCAAATATATAATTTTCACTCAATTCCATAATCATTTTCGTGGTTAAATCTCATTTTTATCAAAACCTAGATTTTTCAACTAAACCCACAATTTCTACACTTTATATTCCAATAATCTACCCAAAATGCATGTATTAAACTCATCCTATATAGAAATTACTTACCTCAAAGTGCTAGGTGAAAATCCCTCTTCAAATAGCTCCAAAATCACCCAAGAGATGAAATAAATGAGCCAAAATAGCCTAAGTCTCGACTTAAATGCACCATTTCTGCCCAGCAGTTTTCCGCACTTGCGGAAGCATCTCTGCTTCTGCGGTCGATTGTCCGCATCTGCGGAACGCGCACGAGCCACGACCAGCCGCACTTGCGGCCAAGTCTCGAATCTGCGAGCCCGCTTCTGCGGCTCGCCTCGCACACCTGCGACCATAGCCAGGTTTCCATTCTCCGCATCTGTGGACCCTTTCATCGCAGAAGCGAGGTCGCTTCTGCGAACCTCGCTCACTCCCCTCCATTCCGTTTCTGCGAACGAGATGCCGCAGCTGCAGTGCCGCTCCTGCGACCATTCCCACCGCAGGTGCGAACGCACTAGATGCCAGCCAACTTTAGCTCTTCTCCAAAGAGTAATTAAGCTCCGTCGGCCCTCCGAATTCTACACGGGGGCCCTAGGGTCTCGACCAAACATACCAATAAGTTTGTAAACATAAAACGGACTCGCTCGAACCCTCGGAATGCGTAAAACAACATCATAACTAAGAATTACACTCCAAAATCAAATCGAATCAACTTATGAACTTCAAGTTCTTCCAACTTGCTCCAAATGCGCCGAATCACACTTAAACTACTCGGAATGGTACCAAATTTTGCGTGCAAGTCACAAATCACCATACGAAACTATTCCAAAGCTCAGAATCTCAATCGGATCTCGATAACATCAAATCCTACCTCAAACCAAATTTAAAGAATTTGAAAACCTTCAATGCACCAACTTCCAATATTAAGCGCCGAAACGCTCCTGGATCGTCTGAAACCCGATCCGAACATACTCCCAATTTTAAAATTATCATACAAACCTATTGGGACCGTCAAATCCCGGTTCTGAGATCGTTTATTAAAAATGCTAACCCAAGTCAAACTTAATACTTTTAAGCCAATATTAAGGAACTAACTATTCCGATTTCAACCCGAACGCTTCCAAACCCGAACTAACCATCCCCACAAGTTATAAAATAGTAAAAGCACATACATGGAGTTTTGTTTAGGGGAACGAGGATCTAGAAAGCAAAACGACCGGTCGAGTCGCTACATAAGCGGTATCAATATTTAAAAAGTGAATAAATGAATAAATCACCATAATAACAGCTGAGTCACTTTTATATTTATGCTTAATATTTTTATTTTTTTATTATCTATATATACATTTTTTTTTAAAATGAGTGTTCGTAACACACTACATGGGGCAAGGTGTATCCGCCCCTCGTTGGAAGGTGACATGTGACTCAAAAAAGTTGAATATTAGACAATAGCAAATGTATAAAAATATAAGATTTTTACACAAATAGCGGGTCTAATTCACTAGTAGATGAATCTATTAGTTTGAACAACTATCTTGAGCAGGAGAAATGTTACACAAAAATAAATACATAAAAATATCAAATATCCATCTTTGGACTTCTTCCCATTCAACTTACAAGTTTACTCGTGAATACATAATATTTCAAGACCACTATAAGATCCAATTATTCGATATTTTAGTTAGTAGACTAAAGCAGGTTGATTAAAAATATGTTTTTACAATATTTTTCCGCTTTACTTAATTACTGTCGGTAAAAGCTAAAATTTAAAACTTTATAGATGGGAAAATAGGAAGGAAAGAAAACTTTTTTTTCTTTTGTCTATCAAACGATAAGCTTCACAAAGTCATTGCTAATAATGATCATTTCCAATTTCCTGCTATATAATGTCAAAATAGGAGCAACAAAATTGAGTCTGCTTGAAAAGTGACAGCAATTTTCTTTGACTGCTAGAATGGAAGAAAGGCAAGGTTAGATAACGCTTAGATATCATTTTCCCAAATATTTAGTTGTCCATTTTCCTTGTCTTTTTCATTAAATTAATTTTATGTTTCACCGAGTTTATTCATCAGCCGGTCCACAGAGCTATTCCTTTCTATGTTCCTTTGATTCCACGACTTAATAATTAATAATTTACTGTGTTTTTATAAATATCTAATTGAATAGGCTAGCTCTTTTGTTTTTTTCGCTTAACCATTCGGTTTCAAAATTCATTAGCCCGATTCATTCAAATTTACAAAACGAAAGGCTCATTAAAGGAATGGTCCAATTAATTCGGATTTACGTAGCGTAAGAATCACTAAGAAATGCCCTGACTAATATGAATTTATGTCATATAGCAGTTCGAAGTCGCTAAAGGAGGAAGCGTTTCTTACCAGAAATTTATCCATATCAAAAAATAAAGTTTGAGACGTCTAGTTAAGAATGAAGAAATCTAATACATCCTGCTATACTCTCGTATTGAAACAGTTCCTTCTATTACTAATAGATTATACTCCCCTTTTACCAATACTAATGTAAATGACTCACTTTTCATTTTAAAACATCATAAAATATTTGACATCATTCTACTAGTAATATTTAATTCCTCTGGCCCTTGTTAAAGGTCTTGGAATACTCATTAAAAAAATTGTTTAACAACATTAATCATAAAGATTATTTAACTAAATTACCCTTTTATCTCTTTTCAAAATGAGTAATAAGCGTTGGGAACTTTTAGAAACTTTATTAATCATTTATTGGAGTAGATTTGAAAGAAAAAAAACACTTCTCGGTTTTCTAAAGCGACACTTATTTTGAAACAATCTTTTTTATGGTTAAAATGACATTTGAAGAGTATTATTTGATTAACTTTCACAACAAAACTTTTGCCTATTTACTTAGTAATACATACCACACNTACTTTCAAGCTATGGCAGAAGCTCCTATGCCACCTTCTTCTCCAAAACAATCAAACTTACCCACTTTGTATTGTGCTCTTATCATTGTCGGAATAGCAGTTGTCTTGCTTAGCCTGTACAATCTCCTTATCGTTCGATGGTGCAATGAAAACCACACAAATGATCAGTCTCTTGAACAAAACTCTAGCCAAGTTTCTCATGATAATCTTAACGTGAACTTAGAGTCCAGTTTCAGGTGCAAGAAAGGAAGAGTTGAAGTTGGAGGAAATCATCATGAGAAGAATAATGATGATATTGAGTGTGCTGTGTGTTTATCAGATATTGAAGAAGGGGAAGAAGTGAAGCAACTTCCAAGATGCAACCACTCTTTTCATGCTTCTTGTATCGATATGTGGCTTTATTCTCACTTGGATTGCCCTATGTGTCGTTCTCCGGTGGAGCAGCCGGTGCTTCACCGGAATAGTTTCACAGGACAAGAAGAGAGTTCTAGAGAAGGAATTGTAGTTCAAGCAATTCAGTTTAGTGTTTCTGATTAGTTTTTTGTTTATAGGAAAGATAGGTTTTGCATGAAGAGTTCCGTTGATCCCAGATGGGGTGGAGTAATTGCAAGGCTTGAAATCATGTGGAAAATATTAAAAACTATTTGATCAAATATTTACTATCTTCTGTCAACACAATTATCGAATAACTCTATAGAAAGAAATATCACCTAATTTTCTTTGTCTTTGTTGTGATTTGAATCTTCATCTCCTCTCCTGTCACGCACTTCATTGACAACTAGGCTACACGCTTAGGTGCTAGCACATGAAAATCTAGGAATGAGGCGCAATTCCAGTTTTATGACCCTAAAACGCCAAAAAACGAGGAACGATCATGGCGAAGTGATGACTATGTTCCTTAGGTAGTTTTTGATGGGCCGACAAAATTTTAGGCAATTCGGGTCCGGTCACCCGGATACATGCAGATGGCGTAGGCTAAACCGCAGGAAAATATGTGAATCCGGTAGAATTCCAGTTTTATGGCCCTAAAATATCAAAAAATGAGGAACATTCATGGGGAAGTGTTGACTATTGTTCCTTAGGTCATTTTTGAAGGACCGGCAAAATTTTAGGCGATTCGGGTCCGGTCGCTCGGATGCATGCAGATGGCGGGTGCTATAACACACGAAAATCTGAGAATCGAGTGGAATTCCAGTTGTATGGCCTTACAACCCCAAAAATGAGAAACGATCATGGCGAATCAGTGTCTATTGTTCTTTAGGTATTTTTTGATGGGATGGTAAAATTTTAGGCGATTCAGGTCCGGTCGCCCGGATGCATACAGATGACGTGGGATATAACACACAAAAATATGAAAATCAGGCGGAATTCCAGTTTTTATGATCCTAAAACGCAAAAAATGAGGAATGATCATGGCGAAGAGGTAACTATTGTTCCTTAGGTCATTTTTTATAGGCCGACAAAATTGTAGGTGATTCGGGTCCCGTCGCCCGGATGCATGCAGATGGCGTGGGTTATAGCATAAGAAAATATGGGAATAAGGTAGAATTTCAGTTTTATGGCCCTAAAATGCCAAAAAGCGAGGAACGATTATGGCGAAGCGGTGATTATTGTTTCTTAGGTCGTTATTGATGGGTCGGCAAAATGTTTGGCAATTCGGGTCCGATCGCCTGGATGCATGCAATGGCGTGGGCTCTAGCACACGAAAATCTGAAAATCAGGCGAAATTTCAGTTTAATGGCCCTAAGACGCCAAAAGAGAAGAAAAGTCATGGCGAAGCGATGTCTATTGCTCCTTAGATGATTTTTGATGGGCCGGTGAACTCGTCCAATTTCACACCTCAATTCAAGGTTATGAAACGGTCGATTTCAATAGTAGTACCCAACAAGAGTCGGGGTCGATTTCCACAGGGAGTTATATATGGGAGTTAGGCGTATATATTATAGTACGTTAGTTTGAACTATCTCAATTTACACTTTTACAAATTGGGGTTGATTCTATGTCTAATTTAAACTAAGATTGCAAGGTTAAGAAATGAAACTAAGAGAATTGTTTTTGTTGTTTTTCAAGTTTTATAAAAAGCCTAGGCCTATGACCATCACCTAGGTGTTTGCCTTATGGGTTATAGACCTTAATGCTTGTTTTGTTGATCGGGGTATATTATAACTATCAACACTCAATTACCCACTCAATATCTCTCGGTCAGAGAGTGATTTTACATTATTTGGCTTTCTCAAGTCCAAATGGGTATTGCACAAAGCGGTTGATAAAAGCTCAAGTCAGGTTATTGCTATCTCTAGGTTAAACCCTTTAATTGGGATTATCAATCTCTCGATTGACCCAATTTCTTGTTAGCCAAGTTGTCCTAGACTAAATCTCTCTTTCTCAAGTAGAGACAAAGTCAAATAGGCATGAACTAATATTTGCAACCATTAATTTTACAAATTAAAGCATGAACAAGGCTAAATAATAAACACCCAACCATAAACAAGCATCAAATTAAACACCCATAAGATTTACACACTAGGGTTGGGTCACAACCCTAATAAAAATCGAGCTACTCATGCTTGAGATTGAAGAAATAAAAGAAAAATGATAATTAAACTCATATTGTGAAATCAAAATGATAAAATTTATGTTAAAATATCCTAAAATATGAAAAACTACTAAAAGAAGTAAAGAGAAACGACTATTATAGCTGCTGATGTCAAAAGTTTTCCTAAAATTGTGAAACTCATCTATTTATACAGGGCTGGAAATTTCAGACAAAAATGCCCTTCGGGAGGTTCTGCGGCCGCACAATTCCATGTGCAGTTTGCAGATTTCTTCAACTTGACAGGACTGGAGGTCTGCGGCCGCATAATTCTGATCTGCGGCTGCAAGGCATTCTTACTGCGGTCCGCAGATTTGTAACTGCGGTCCACACTTTTATGTCTGCGACCGCACAATTCCTGTGCGGTCCTCACTTCTGAGGGCTTGGAAACTTGGGACTTTGCACATTCTCTGAACTTTGTTCCTAGCCATCTTTTGCGGCCGCACAATTCATGTGCGGTCCGCACTTTGTACAAAAGTCTGCTGGCCTTTCTTTCATCATCTGCGAACGCGATGGGAATTCTGCGGTCCGCACTTTATGAGCTCTTGTGACTTTTATGGCCTTGAGTTTAGACTACTCCTTTTTGAGTTGGATTTCATCTCGAGAGTTCATCTTCCAATATTCCTACAATTTAGGACATTTCATCAGTTTTCGGGAACACAATTCAATGCTTTTAGACTAAAACAAAAGCTAAAAGGCGCTAATAAGTAGTCAAAATTCTCACTTATCAGCCGGCAAATTTTTTGGTGATTCAGGTCCGGTCGCCCGGATGCATGCAAACGGCGTGGGCTATTATAACACACGAAAATCTAGGAATCGGGCAAAATTCTAGTTTTATTGCTCTAAACCGCCAAATAACGAGGAACAGTCATGGCAAAATGGTGACTATTGTTCCTTAGATATTATTTGATGGGCCGGCAAAACTTTAGACGATTCGGGCTCGGTTGCCCGGATGCATGCAAATGGCATGGGCGATAGCATAAAAATTTTGGAAATTGGGCGAAATTTTAGTTTTATGTCCCTAAAACATTAGAAAATAAGGAACAATCATGGTGAAGTGGTGATTATTGTTTCTTAGGTCATTTTTTATGAGCCGGCAAAATTTTAGGTGATTCAGGTTTGGTCGCCCAGAAGCATGCAAATGGCGTGGGCGCACAATAAAATATGAGAATCAGACAGAATTTTAATTTTATGGCCCTAAAATGCCAGAAAATAAAGAACGGTTATGGAGAAGCAATGATTATTGTTTCTCAGATCGTTTTTGATGGGCCGGCAAAATGTTAGGCGATTCGGGTCCGATCGCCCAGATATATGCAGATCACGTGGGCTATAACACAGAAAAATCTGGGAATCCAGCGGAATTCAGTTTGATGGGCCGGCAAAAGTTTTGGCGATTCAGGTCCGGTCGCCCGGATGTATGCAGATTGCGTGGGCTATAGCACATGAAAATATGAAAATCGGGCGAAATTCTAAAATTATGGCCGTACAATGCCAAAAATGAGGAACGGTCATGGCAAAGCGGTGACTATTATTTCATAGGACAATTTTTATGGGTTGGCAAAATTTTAGACGATTCTGGTCCGTTCGCCTGGATGTATGCATATGGCGTGGACTATAAAATACGAAAATCTGGGAATCGTGTGAAATTCCAGTTTTATGGCCCTAAAATGCCTGAAAATGAATAACGGTCATGGAAAAACGGTGATTATAGTTTCTTAAGTCGTTTTTGATAGGTCGAAAAATTTTTATTCGATTTGGGTCCGGCCGCCTCGATACATGCAGATGGTGTGGGTATAACACACGAAAATTTGAGAATCGGGCATAATTCCCATTTTATGGTCCTAAAATGCCAAAAACGAGGAACGGTCATGATAAAGCAGTGACTATTGTTTCTTAGGATATTTTTGAAAGGTTGGTAAAATTTTAGGCGATTCGGGTGTGGTCGCCCGGATGCATGCAGATGGCCTGGGGTATAGCACACGAAAATCTAGGAATGAGGCTGAATTTCAATTTTATGGCCCTAGAACGCCAAAAAAATAAGGAACGATCATAGCGAAGTATAGTGATTATTATTCCTTAGGTCGTTTTTTATGAGCCGGAAACTTTATGGGCGATTCGGGTCCGGTCGCCTTGAAGCTAGCAGATGGCGTGGGCCATACCACACCAAAATTTGAGAATCGGGCGAAATTCCAGTTTTATGGCCCTAAGACGCCAAAAAATGAGAAACGGTCATGGCGAAGCGGTGATTATTGTTCCTTTGGTAGTTTTTTATGGGCTCGCAAAATTTAAGGGCATTCGGGTCCGGTCGCCAGGATGCATGCAGATAGCGTGGGCTAAACATTTGTGAATCGGGCGGAATTCTAATTTTATTGCCCTAAAACATCAAAAACACGAGGAATGGTCATGGAAAAGTGGTGATTATTGTTCCTTGGGTCATTTTTTATGGGCCGACAAAAATATTAGACGATTCGGGTCCGGTCGCCCGGATGTGTGCAGATGACATGGGCTATAACATACAAAAATCTTGGAATCCGGCGGAATTCTAGTTTTATGTCCCTAAAATGGTAAAAAATAAGAAATGATCATGGCGAACAAGTGACTATTGTTCTTTAGGTTATTTTTGATTGGCCGACAAAATTTTAGGTGATTCGAGTCCGGTCATCCGGATGCATGCATATGGTATGGGCTATAAGACATGAAATTCTAATTTTATAGCCCTACAACGCCAAAAATGAGGAACGGCCATGGCGAAGCGGTGACTATTATTCCATAGGATATTTTTGATGGGTTGGCAAATTTTTAGACGATTCTAGTCCGATCGCCCGGATGCATGGAGATGGCGTGGGCTATATAGCACACGAAAATTAGGGTAACGGACGGAATTCCAGTTTTATGGCCCTAAAATGCCTAAAATGAGGAACAGTCACAGTGAAGCGGTGACTAT